GGCTTTTTCAGCAAGCGGGACTGACCTAGGGTGAATTTTTAAATAGGGACAATTTTTAATGATTTTAAACAAGACACAGCTACAAATATTTGGTTTTTAATTGGCTTTTATAGGGAAATGTTTTGTATTGTTTTTAATATGCTGTGAGCCGCCCTGAGTCCCATGGAGGAGAAGGGCGGCATATAAGTCTTATTATAAAATAAAAAAATATAAAAAAAATAGTAACAGTGCTGCCTTTATAAGAATGTTTTTGTCATCCCACTAGAATAATTTTGCCCTGTTATAATGCAAATATCATTATGCAGATCTGTTTTTATGTAAGATATTTCTTTACCATATACAGGGTAGACAAATCTATTTCTTAGTGATGAACCAGAAGCTATTTTTTTTTCAAGTTGATTGGAACTGGGAACAATGTTTCATTATTTTTGATGCTGCAAATAATATTTCTAACTGTATTTATGTTTAGTTTATATTTTTATTTTTGCTGCATTCTTTTTGCACAATTGCTATTACATTAAAGATTAAAGAATTTTTTAATGATTTACAATATTTCGTGCATTTCTTCAGCATTCTGACACCATCCTGAGAAGCTGTTAGATATAATGTGTGTATCTGACTTAAAATAGATATAAAAATGAATCATAATAGTTCACTGGTTGGTTTAGTTTTAGTTTTAGTTTTATTAAATTTATACCCCGCCCTTCTCCTGGAGGACTCAGGGCGGCTTACAGCCAGTTTAAAAACAATAATACAATACAATACAAAATTTAAAAGTGATTAAAAATAAATATTTAACTAGGCCGCTTCTACTAAAATTTTTTGTTAAAACCAATTTAAAATACCCCTAGGCCAGTCCTGCCCGCTGAAATAACCAAGTCTTGAGGGCGCGGCGGAAGGAGGGGAGATCCGGAATCACCCGGATCTCTGGGGGCAGCTCATTCCAGAGGGTGGGTGCTCCGACAGAGAAGGCTCTCCCCCTGGGGGTCGCCAGCCGACACTGTCTGGTTGACGGCACCCTGAGGAGGCCCTCTCTGTGGGAGCGTATCGGCCGGTGGGAGGTGATCTGTGGCAGAAGGCGGTCTCGGAGGTAACCAGGTCCAATGCCATGGTGCGCTTTAAAGATGATAATCAACACCTNTTACATGGGAGCGACGAGTCGCTCCCATCACCGCCCGCGCGGCCGCATTCTGGACTAACTGGAGCCTCCGAGTGCTCCTCAAGGGAAGCCCCATGTAGAGAGCATTACAGTAGTCCAGGCGGGAGGTGACAAGGGCATGGGTGACTGTGCGCAAGGCATCCCGGTCCAGAAAAGGCCGCAACTGGTGCACCAGGCGTACTCTATCCCCTTATCAATCAAGTAAAAGTGACAGGATTTCAACCTGAGATGGAAAGATATTAGAGTTTTACACTTTGCAACAGAGTAGTATTAACAATTTTTCTCATGTAAAATTATATTTGAAAAGCTTATCTTTTTATCAGATGTTTCCTTTTGAGTTAGATTTGAACTGATTTTAATGGAACCTGACCCATTGCCAGCTTATGCACTGAAGCTGCTGATTTCGATTACAGAATACAACCCTGCTTTTATAGGGTAAGTAAACTTGTCATTTTATTAATCATAGTACAGAGAGTCACTTAGATTTAATGATCTTGATGGAATTTTTGAAAATCCATTCTTTTTTTTGAAAAAAATCACCCTCTGCTTGTCTTAGGACCAGATACTACTTGGGTTCCTCAGCCTCATAAGTAGATTTCCAGGAAATTGCTGTGTTGAGGAAAACGTACCTAAAATCTTATAAATTCAAAATCTTTAGGGCATACTTGGGATCCTGGGAATCAAATATACTTTCATTATTTATTCAATCTTAAATATGTTTACCAAAGAGAAAGCATATTGAATATGATTGGATTCCTGATTATAGCAGTGTATTTTGAACAGATAGAGGCAATTTGGAAACTGTTAAGTTAAACTTAGACTGTTAAGTTTCCAAATTTATATTTATATTACAAAATATAAAATACAAAGGAAAATAAAAATAATGGGAAAATAGAAGAAGGAAAAAAAATTGAAGGAAAGAAAAAATGTGAGGTAGAAGGGGAAAAAGAAAGAAAAGGCATTGATATTGGACTCTCTTTAGCACAGTAGCAACATTAAAACCTCAACTTTTTATTTTTACACATTAGTATATAACTAGCCATTTCTACAGCAACAAATCTATCCAATCAGCAAAACCAAAATAAAAGTTCCTTTTTTTTACAAGCACAAAATCAAGAAGCAATTTCCAAACAGAAACATAATTAGATATATTCTTCCCTTTGAATAAAGCAATCAATTTAACCATCTCTGCTTTTTCTTCCTTGCTATGGAAATATATTATATATTTCTGTTTGCACTTATTAATCTTTATAAACTATCATCATTTATATTAACAAAATTCACTATATTCTTTCAGATTCTTTAACTTTAATGGAAAAAAATTTTATATTCATTTTAAAATATTAAACTTTTCTTGAAAAACATTTCTAAACTATTAAGTTGTACTACATCTTTTTTTAAAAATCCTCTTAATATACATACTTTAAAATTCACTTTCAATAATATTTCGCAGGCTTTGAAAATTAATCAAAAATTATATATGAAAAACCCATTTTCAAACCCCCTTTATGAAAATTAAATGCAGAACTGCAATAAAGCTTTCTTTTGATTACACACATCAGATAATAAAATCTAATTAACTAATTAATTCATTAAATTAAGTCACTTCCTCCAAGTTATCTTCATAGAATAAAATTTTTCTTCTTGTTTACATTCATTTTCAAACTCTAAACTTTTCTTTAAGAATATTTGTAAAATCAGTAATACACCTTTTTTAAACTTCCTCTTAACAGATACTTTCAAATATTTTAAAAGCTTTAGGGATCACTTAAGGCTTAAGCAATATATAAAGAAAAAAAACTCATTTTACATTAAATCTTTTTTCAGATTACATATTGGATTTATAAAAATCCATACTAATTCCAATCAACTAATTAAGATTGTCACTCCTTCCAGCTTCATAGAATAAAACCTTTTTCTTCTCTGGAATGTCTGTCAAATAATTATAAACTTCTCTTTTTCTCAAGGATTTTTCAACCTTATTCATATGCATGAAGAAAAAAATCCCAAACATGTCCTCTTAAAATTTACAGGTTTTCTTGAAACTCTTCTTTCAATTGTATTGGGAGATTTATATTTAAATCAATGTAATAAAGATTGATGTCAGGTTTATATTCCAAACTTGCGGTTGAGTTCTTTACATTGTCAGCTACTTGTGTAATTGCCTCAGTGGTTTGGTAACTTTCTACACATAATTGCATCTCTGAAGTAGTTTGAGTAGTTTTTATAACATCCTTAAAAAACAGCTGATCTATAAACTTATTTAAGAATTTTTTCAAACACATCTCTGTTAACTTGATAACTTGTTCAAGTGCATGCTCCATCTTCTTAGCTCCCTCTTGTGGTCAAAGAGTAGATTTTTTGAAAGTCACTTAAGAATTGCTGGCTAATCAGAATTCATAAAAATAGGAAAGTTTTAGCCACTCGCAGCAAAGCAGGCCAAACCACAAATTAGTTAAAAATAATAAAATAAAAGCCACAACTTTCTACCTTTATATTTCTCCATCAAAGTTTTTTTTAAAAAAGATACTCTATGCTTCCTTACTTAAACTTGCTTTCAGCAATCTTTTTCTTGTTATTTAACAATAAAGAAGTCCTCAAAATGGTGCAGCTCTTCAAAAAGCAGTAATAGTCTGTGACCAAAGAAAGCGTCTTTTAGCTTAAGAAAGATAAAAATTCTTAAGAGTGATTAAGAAATGAAAGGTATAACTCAGTGATGGCGAACCTTTTAGAGACTGAGTGCCCAAACTGCAACCCAAAATCCACTTACGCATCGTCGAGTGCCGGGTGGGTGTGGCCCATTGGCTGGGCGTAGCCCATTGGCTGGGTGTGGCCCATTGGCTGGGCGTGGCTGCGGTGGTAATGGCAGACTGGGTGGGACTAAAAAGTTCAATCAATCAATTCCAACTTTGCAAGATCGTTTTTTTTCCTGCAAGAAGTTGAAATTGACTGATTGAACCTTTTTTTTTTTGCAGACGGCAGCGGAGGCCTAAAGCGAAAAGGTTTGAAGGCCTAGGACTGGGGTGACGGCGCGCGTGCCCACAGAGAGGGCTCTGAGTGCCGCCTCTGGCACCCGTGCCATAGGTTTGCCACCACTGGTATAACTCAATGTCAGTTTGAAAAATAAATTCCAAAACAGCTGCTTTTTCAATAATGAAGTGATTGCAGCCCTGGTCCCCCAGCTGAATGGCTCACCAGCTCATTCTGAAGTTACTTGCAGACCCTTGCTGTATGGAGAATCTTGTTGGGTAATTCTGGGACTCTCCCTGACCCCAGGAAAGTCATATAAACTAAAGGAAACCCAACTCTTTCTGTTAGTAAGTTGAAAAAGTGACAGTCCAAAGAAAACTCCTTCAGGGTGCCCTAGGGAGTCCTCCTTGGCATATCGTCAATTGGCCATCTTTCCCACAAGTAGAATAGCTGAAACTGTTAATATTAAATAAAAAATGTAATTTGAGATGATAGAATATTTTCCCAATTTTTGTACACAGTTTTACTGTAACACATTGAAATGTTATTGTTTTTTCATGATTCGTAATTAAATTTTCCTGAAAAATAACAATATTAGCATATTGCATCACAAATGACAGCATCTTATGGTATCTAGAAGACCTAATGTTAGGCTTAGGAAACTATGAGCCAGGATAGAGTTCAAAAGCACTACGATTTTTATTCCATGCAACCTACAGTATACACAAGTGTCTGATCTATTAATGGTCAAGACAAATTGGCACCAGATAAGAGTCAATTAACTTCCAAGGTCTCTTCTGTGGACATAGAAACACCAGACTGATGATGCATTTGTCCCTGCCCTCAAGCTCAGCCTGATCATCTCCTGAATCAGCAGGTTAATTATGACAGAAGCTTTCATGGACTCAAATCTATTTCCTTAAATAATGTGAACTAGTCTATAGGTTTATGGCAAATACCTTTTATTTCTGGGACTTTATAATTAAAAGTCTGCCTGACAAAATGGTAAGAATGTATTTGATAGATTCAGTTCCATTGCATAAATGTGGTTGAGTTCACACATTACAATATTAATATTTCACTTAATTACTGGTTTGAACTAATTGAAGCCCAACCCATAGAGATGAAAAGCCTTCTTTGGTATTCCACTTTGGGCAAGTCTACATAGGATTTTGACAGCATTATTGTATAGTAGAGCAACTGTCAAACTCTCTAAATTTGCCTAAGCAAATTTATTGCAGACTTCCCCAGGCAAAGTGGAGAACAAAATCTACATGGAACTTTAATAGTGTCTTTTTCTTTCCAGACAAAGATTTTTTAGATGACTAACTCATGGAACTTTACTATTTTAGTATGTGCAATTTTAGCATTAATTTTGGTTTGATTTTTATCGACTATATTGCCCATGTGATGGTTTGTAATTAAGTAAATTAATTATTAATTTAATATTTTTGTATTAATTTATGTACTTCCCATTAACTTGCTTCATGACAGTGATGTAAAACCATGGAATACTTTCCAAAGAAACATAGCATTTCTTATATTTTAATACAGGTAGTCTTTGACTTACAACAGGTCACTTAGTGATGGTTCAAAGTTATGATCGCCCCCCGCAAAAGTACTTAATGATCCAGTTCCGACGTTACGTATATTGTAGAACCCATGGTCATTCACCTTTACGACTGACTGCAGACTCTGCAACAGGCCCCCCCTGCCTATTTCTCCCCTATCCTTCCCCACCGGGTTCCCCCCACTCCGTCAATGATTGCTTACTTTACAAAGATCTCTAGAGCTCAGAATGTTGGGATAGGAGAGGAGGAAAGATTGTTTCATTGCTAGGCCATGTGGCAAAAAAGTGACCATCTTTTTCTGAGATATTGGAAAAACCTTTCTGTTTTGTTTTTGTTGCTAGACACTAGCCTTCTGTTCCCAGAAAAAGCAAAATGGCGAGGAAGAAAAATCTTTCTTCCCTTCCTTGCTGTTTGCTTTTGGTCCTTTGCTAATATCAAGTGGAGGGAAAACATGGAAGTAGCTAGAAATCTCTTCCTTTAGAATAAGCTTCTGCTAGATACTGGTCTCTGCAAACTAACACATGTACATCTAATGGTGGGCGGAGGGAAAACATGGAAGCAGCCAGAAAATTGACCATTAGCTGCAAACAACAAGGAAGGGAAGGAAGATTTCTCCTCTTCACTATTTGCTTTCACTGTGGAATGGAAGGCTAGTGTATAGCAACAAAGGAAAATAGAGAGGTTTTTCCAGCATCTCAGAAAAAGCCACTTTTCTGCCATGTGGCCTAGCAATGGAGCAGCCTGTCCTCCTTTCCTACCCCAACATCCTGAACTCTGGAGACCTTCGAAAGATAAGTGAGTGATCAGTGATGGGTGGGGAGATAGATGCAAAGGATGGGTGCAGAGGATGCCCAAGCAGTTGTGGGGACCCCAAGGGATGGGAAATGGAGCATGGAATATTTCAGTGGGTGAGGGGAGGCTGCAGAAAGATGATTTTGTTCCTGTACTAGGCCCCACATGGTCTTCCCAACCCTTGAGGCACTCCATTGCCACTTAAATCACCATTCATTTACCAAATGCATTGGGGAGGGGGAACCAGGACGGGGACTTGTTCACTTAACATCTTCTCGATTTACAAATGTAATTGGCAAGCTCCATTATATTTGTAACTCAAGGATTACCTGTAGATTTGATGAAACTTGTTTAACCAAAATGCAGTCATAGCCTAAGATTCTGGGACACAATTTTTTATGATCTTATGTGCAATACCTTATAATGTGACATATGTTGTATATCTATCTTATATCTTGTATATTATTTCAATGATTTATATTTGTAATACACAATGGTAATCCTTTTACTATTTGTTATCCTTTTATTATTTGCTAGTCCTAATAGCATTTCTGTCACTAAGTGGCATGTTCGTTGAGCATGACATCATGTGACTGTAGTGACTATCAGTTCTGGCCATGGTTGTTAAGTGAATCATCATGGGTGGTTAAACATGACTTCAAATGATTGCAGCATGTGACTTCCTGCCAGTTTCCCCATTGCGTTGCTTGTGGCAAGGTAGCTGTAAAAGTTGCAAATGTTGTAAACGTACATCAATTTCCAAGCACCCGAATTATGATCATGTGACCAATGAGATGCTGCAACAGCCACAACTTCAAAGACTGATCATTAAAATACTTTTTCATTGGTATCATAAATTTGAAAAGTCACTGAACAAGGGGGTCAGTAAGAACAGCTACCTACAGAAGCAAACTTGTTCTCATTGCTTGCTGCTTAATTATTTAATTATCTATTTTTGGTGTTCTCATAGGTTAGTTGAAGAAATCCACCTTGTTCCAACAATTTTTCAAGTTATCCTGGTAAGTATAAATTTTTAAGCTTGCGATTTTAAAATAATTTTAAAAGAGTACTTACTGTGTTCTGCTTTCTCCTGTGATTGGGAAGCCTTATCACAGGGGTGTCAAACTGTCGGCCCGCAGGCTGGTTGCATCATGCAGAGGCTGTGCCCACCCCAGCTCCGGCAATGCGAAAAAAGTCACAATACAACACATCATGTGACATATCAAGTTTGACACCTGTGCCTTATTGGATTAATTTCATAGTGTTATTTTCTATAGAAATTACAATTCCTTCGGGATTTGTTTTCAGCTTGATTTGAACTAATGAAACATTTCTACATATTCTTATCAGAACTTTAATTTTACTAAAATACATGCCACTTTTTTATACAGTGGTATAAAATTAAAAAAAATCATATAAAATCTCAGCCTTTGGTATATGCCTAGCTCACCAGTAAAAAAAGAACACTGAGAAATATATAGCTGCTTATGCAAATACATGTTTTGGAATCTGTGCATTTAAATATATTGTCTGCAACTCAATAAAGAAGCTGCATTTTTTCCAGGATTACTCAGTTTCTATGGGGCAACAGCATTTTCCAAGTCAAATCTAAAATTGTATAACCCCAGGAAGTAATATAATAGTGGCTCCAGTTCTCTTGAGTTTTGCAGAGATCCTCTGATAAACATCTTGAGAAAGAATTGGATACGGCAACCCTGTAAAAATCAGATTAAATTAGATGGTCTAAAATATTATTTCAAAAAATACAAATAACATACCATGAATTGTATACATTGACTGAAAATCAGAGGAATTAAAGATTTGGTTTTATGGGATTTATACAAGTATTGTAGATTTTCTATATATTTGTGTAGTCCTTGGCGGTGTTTGAGCTTGGTGGTTTGCTTGCAAACTTTTCATTACCCAACCAGGTAACATCATCAGCGTATTACCTAGTTGGGTAATGAAATTTCTGCAAGCAGACCACCAAGCTGAAACAATCACCAAGAACTCCACAGTTCAACCCTGAACTACATATATTTTCTTCTATTTCTATATGTTGGTAGTTCCATTTTGAAATGGAGTTTCTGTACCATTTCAAGAAAAAAATATATAGGAAAATGCTTTGGGACCTCTATGTAAGAACTGTTCTACCCACATTCAGGGATCAGTCCTTGGATGCATTGTGAATCTGGACACCCGAGGAAAGTAATTATCTTTGGAGACTTCTATTTCCTTTTCTTCTTTTCCTTTTCTCAAAGGAAAAGTTTATATCTCTAATTTTTGGCTAAGTAAAATGAATAGCAGTACATTCATCTTAATAATGTAGAAATGTGCAGAATTTATGAATCAGGATCTGATGTAATTGCACTCATTAATAATCTGAAAAATGATGAAGATATAGGTTCTGTTAAATTTTGTCTAACAGTTTTTGATAAAAGATAATGTTTTCAATAGTATTCATGTTATAACCTTTTTTACATTAGCAACCTTCATGGCTAATTCATTCTAGTTTATATCAGCAGCATAGCTCATGCTAAATTTACTGAATTTCTTCTGAGAAGTGAAATTAATATGTATGAGTTGTTAGACTGGGAAAGATGGATGACAGAAAAATACAATGTTAATGTCAATTTCCAGAAAGAAGTCTAAATCTTACAGATGTGCCTGTTCTTGCTTTATTAATTTTTAAACTTTAGATGGAGTAATTATCCAAGACTCCTTGTATTCATTTTTATTAACAATTTACTTGTTAATAAGGAAAACAAAGTATTAATTCAATTTCATTTAGAAATGAGTATCTTCAAATAAAATACATTAACTATTTCTCCATAGTCATAAAAAAATTATAGATTTCACCATGTATTTGTATATATGTAAATGTATGTGATTTTGGATCAATTTTTAATTTTGTCTCAGAATACATTTTTCCTGCTAGTATAATTAATGTTAATTACTGAAAAAATAAGTTTTACCAATTTAACTCTCTAAACTGAATAATAGCTTTAATAATAACTAAAATATATGTTAAAATAAGAATGTTTATGTATGTAATCAACTAAGGAGAAAAGTTCTGCATTTTTCAAACTGAGGATTTACCATACAGAAATCAGTGGTGTCTTTTTTAGATGACTGACAAGGACTAACCTCCTGGGCTTGCTTAATATAAACGTTTACTTTCCAAATGTTTTGAATTGTAGAACACCTACTTACCAGGGTTCTCCCCAAGCAGAATTGAAAATCTCAACTTTCTTGTTCAGTGGTCTGTTGTTCCCAAAATTTGTGTTCACAGACACAACTCAACTAGATTAAGTTCTTTATTGCAAACTAGGACATATTGTCATGAAATGCAAATTCTACCTACTGCAAGTCATAGTAATATGTGTTTGTGTGTGTGTGTGTGTGTGTGTGTATACAATATATACTACAGAATTCTGAGTTCTAGTTGTCTTCCTTCTTTTCCAAGCTAATAGGAATTTTTCCAGGAATTTTTCCATTCTCTTCAAAGCTGGCAGAGGGCAATTGACAGTTACAGGTAGTCCTCACTTAACAACAGTAATTAAGACCAGAAATGGTTAGCAATGTGATTGTAAAGCATGAGATCATAAGACCGCTTCACTTTGCAATGCAGTCCTAAACCACCATTGCCTCATTAAGCAAGGATTACAGGTCACTAAGCGAGGACTTCCTCAGAACTTCCTGCTGGTTTCCAACAACCAAAGTCAATGGGGCAACCAGATAGGAAACTTCTTATTGGAAGTCCTAGGCAGGTCACAAGCAAATTGGCAAGCTGTCAACTTTGAAAATGAGCATGGTTGTGGCCTTTTTCCCTATTCATTTTCGGTTAACACTTTGAAGGGGGGAGGGGGGATGGCCAGGTGCTTCACTTGTCAAAATAATCTTTAGTCCCATGGGAACCAAGATCATCGACTGCTCCCGAGACTGCTGGTTGGGCATTTGGTGCAAAGCCCACCAAGAAGATGTATTGTGGAACATAGTTGCTTGCATAGCTTTAGAGGTGGGATTTCTTAACTTTGTATTGGGAAATTGTTACGTGTGTCTTCAGACTTGGTTTCACTTTTGACGTGCCGATACTTTGTAACTAATAAACATGTTCTTTGAGGAATTTCCAAGCCTCGGAGTTCTACTTTACTTATCTCTATTGGAACCATGACATTAAACCAAGTCTCTTAAAACTTCGTTTTCTCGGAGTGCTGGGCTCCAACCACCTACCCACTCACTTTTGGGAGAGCAGTAAAGACTCGGCGAAGACTTGAGATGGAGGAGAAAATTGAAATTGCTGCTAGTCGCAACAGGACTCAGGCTGTCCAAGCGCAGGCAGGCACTCCAGCCATCAAGGAGGAGTCACTGGCAGGGACTGGACCGAAAAGCGGGGTGATCCAACCTGGGAAGCTGGTACCGCAGGAAGGAGCTACAGCCCTAGTGGACCTCTTCCAAACCAAGGCGGCCCCTCAACACAGAAGCACTCCTGTAACCGCTGGAGAGGAACTCCTATTGCTGCCATCCCAGGGTTCTTCATCTACGGATGGCAAGAAAGGAAAGGGGTCGATGGGATGGGACGATTCCAGTGAGTGGAGATTTCAGTCCTCAGTCCATAGCCCCTCACTCGAACAGCTGAAGGAGAAGTTTGGCCAATTGGAGGTGAGGGATATGATCCCTGTTGCCAAGGAGGTGGGTGACATGGGGCGAAATGCCAAGAACTACACATCTCTTCCCCCCCATTGCCGGAGCTCCAGCCCAACTGCCGGAGTCTGTACTGCTTCACCCATTCCCCCCACCAGCTGTGATACCAAGCCCGGTGTCCCAGCCATGTTTGTTGCCACAACCTCAGAATGCCAGTCCCAGAGTCCAGGCAAGAGAAGTCCAGAGAGTGGTTCGGCCACATCCCCAGGACCAACGAGCCGCCCAAGCTCAACAAGTCGCCCAAGCCCAGCAAGCCACCTAAGCTCAGCAGCAGGTGCAGGTGGCTCTGCCGAGATTCGAGCTGGCTCCCAGCAAGACCTTCTTAAACCAGGTGTGGGCTCATTGAGATCACTATGCGTATGCCTACATGGATGGGGCTATGATGGTGAATACTGTGGCAACAAATTTAGAAGGAGAAGTGGCCAACTGGGTGACCAACCTCCATGATGAAGGGGGTCCTGAATTGTACAACATTATTCATGGAGCAACTGCGGGGTCACTTTGAAGATGAATCCCGAGTCTTACTGGTCAAGAAAGAAATCCACTGCCTGAAGCAAAGAAGTTGCCCCACAAAGGAGTATGTCTGTGAATTCAGAAGATTTGCTGGCAGGGGCAGTGGCCTGAGCAATCACTGATCAACTACTTGGATCACGATTTGCTCCAAGCACCCCTGAAAGTCAAGCACCACCGGACCCCAGCCGCCACGCATCCAAGAAAAACGCCCCTATGGTCGACATCCCCAAGCCTCAGCAGGCACCAATGTCTCCCAAGCACCAGCCAGGGCTCCAATCAAGTGCTACTGGTGCGGTCAGATGGGTCACCATGCTGTGGAGTGCCCAGCTCCTCACCCTCAACCCAGGAGTGCGCCAGTTGCAGCTGCGAAACCGCAAAGAATTCCCAGATTGGAAAGAGAGAAGAACAACTGGGTGTCAAAGCCTTACCTCCCACTGAGCTCAAAGCCAAATCCCAATCCGAGCCACAGCAAATGCCGGCACCATACAACAGTGACTAGGAAGATGAGGACCCCATGGTGAGTCAGCCCATTCCCTCTTTTGCCATTCCCGCCAGGCTGATAGTGCCCCAAACCCGGGCTCACATGAGATTGAAGGTCCTAATAGACTCGGACTGCACTTGGTGCTTAAATAACTTACCCACTGTGCTAAAACTGTATTGCCCATGCCCATGAGATTTGAGCAGGCCGACAGGTCCCTCATTGGAGGTGCACCTGCCACGCACCTAACCGAACCTGTGTGTTTTGAAATGGGCATTGGGAAATCATCTGTTTTGTGGTGGTTCTAAAGATGTCCAAAGCAGT